TTTGCTGGAGGTGGGGGGAGGGAGGAGAGAGTGATGCGGAGATGATTTTCGGGTGTACAGGAGAGATGGTTGTGGAGAGTGGTGTGAGTGGAGAGTTGGGGAGGGTACGTATGAGGGAGGGGGAAGTTGGATTTGCCTTAAGGAGGCGGTTTGAGCGGAGGGAGTGATGGGACACATGGTGGGTTGCTGCTCTGAGACAGCCAGTGCCAGGAGACACGATGAAGGATGCCCAGGCTGGAGCAAAAGGAAGTGGTGATGGGGTCAAGGAGAGAAGGACAGAGGGGGAGTAGCGGATAGAGGGGAGTGGGAAAAGAGACATTTAGGGGGAGGCTCAGGTCGGGGCAGCAGCCAAAATGTGCACGCAGAGACCAGAAGCGAGCAATCAGCAGGATGGCATCAGCCCTCATGCTTAGCCTCCCAGGTCATGGCTGAGTGGCAGTGGCTGCCAGGCCATTATTGTTGTTGTTGTTAGGTTATTTTTTAATAATTTTTTTATTAACTGTGACATCACTTTGTGAAACGCACCCACCCCAACCCCTCACTTACCTCCGCTCCAGACTGAGTGGCTTCTCACCTGGCTGTGCTTTATATACACGGCTAGGCCTTGGCTCCGCCCTGCACTCTCCTACCTTAGAAGATATACTACAACCTGACACCAACGTCCCCGTCTGCACCTAATTCCCACTCTCACTCAATTCCTTCTCACTCTGGCCTGGTCTCACTCCAGACATAGCTCACTCTGGGTCCTCTGCTCAAGTAAGGCTCTTGTAGCTATCCCCTTTTTATACCCTTTGGATGCAACCAGTTTCTGATTGGTCAGCAGTAATTTAAAATTAACACCTAATCAAGTGATTAACCAGTATGTTACTTGTTATTGGTTAAGTCTATAGCTACAGATGCTCCCTGCAGAGTTTCACCAGAAGACCAATCTACCAATGGTAACAACAGTTTTAGCAGTTTTTAGTAGCACAACACTTGAACACTCACGATAGCAGTTCCCACAGCAATTCCCACTCTCACCCAATTCCTTCTCACTCTGGCCTCGCCTCACTCCGGACGCAGCTCACTCTGGGCCCTCTGCTCAATTCATTGTCAATCAGGATCCCCAGATCCTTTTCATTTTCCATACATATTGTTTTCCATCTGTTCAAATAATGGTCCCAATAATAGGATTATAGCTATACTGTCTTCTTCTGAAGAACCTAGCTCAATTACTCCTACTCGTCCTTTTCATTTGACTATATTTGTACTATCGTAACAAAAGATGTCAGAGGGACGACTCGTGACTGAAATAATTTATGTGAAAGTTGCCAATCTGTCATGGAGCCATGAACATTACAAGTCACTCCAGTTATAAATTAATGAACAACAAGGCAATTTGAACTGTTAAACCGTGGTCCTGTCTGCCTGTTCAGGTGGACATTCAAGATCCCATGGCACCACTCAAAACAAGAAGAAAATTCTCCTCAGGAGAAACAGCCCACAATTCTCCAGGTAAAATTGGTGAATCACTTCATGATAGTTCGCGGGACACTGCTGTGTGCAATTTAGTTGCCTACAAAATACAGTCACAACATCTTACTAAATCCTGTGAAGCACTTTCATTGTCCCATGAGCACATTTAATTCAATAACAATTGTGGCAGTTCAAAACTAACTCCAACATAAACTATCAGCCACAAGGCGGCAGCAGCCCACTTTCCAGGTAAGTGGTTTCTTCCTTATCGGATCTCCCCATTTCTCTTTGTTTGCCTTTTTGAGGCAGGCGAGTTTCAATTTGTAAATTGTGTATCTGTCCTGAAACATCCTCTAAGCTTTTATTTTTTTTGCTTAAATATTCATTTTCTAATATAGATTTTCAGAAGGGTGAAAAAGGCACTAAATATCAACAGTCACGTGAGCATACACAACCAAAGTCCTATTGTCTCCTCTTGTAATGTAAAGAGAGAGAAAGTGGAGGAATCTTAACACTGTAACAGTAACTGTCACACATGACCAAAGTGAAAATAAGAAGCTGAAAAAAAGACAAGCCTTACTTTATCACGTTGTTGAAACATCTCAAAGTGCTGACTCAGGTGAAAAGGTTTCTTTAAAGTAAGAAGTTGTGTGTTTTAAGCATTGGTGGTGAAAGGGGGATTTTGTTCTCAGCACTGTGTTGGAATGATTGGAAAGCAAAACATTGTTCCATAGTCGGCATTCAGCATCACAATCGAGCACTCTCATGTCTGGTTCAACAACAACAAGATTAGATTTGTATAGCGCCTTTCACATCGGGAGGACGTCCCAAAGCAAATAAATTAATGAACAACTAGGTAATTTGAATTTTTAATTTGAATTTGGTGCAGCATGAGTGTTGAGTGAAGCTTCTTCCTCATGCGGTTTCGTATTGTGCGTTAAATTCAACCACAAAACAGAACCACCGATTTCATCAGTGGGTTATTTCCTGCTTATCGCCTCTTCAAGGTTGCCAAACTAGGGCAGATTTGAGCTGTGGGTCCACAAGTTAGGAACTGGGTTCAAACATTCTCAAACTAAAAGGAAAGCATCCTTGCGATAGGTAGAACATTTTTATTTGTGTATTTTCTTGCTGAGTAGGTGGGGTTTTAAATTGGGCACAACATTGTGAAGTCAAACCTCATGCAAGTCATCTGGCAACATATCACTCCATCGTCCCTTCAAAAACCTCCTAAATGAAGTTCCCACAGTTAGAAATTCCCCTCGCATGATGAAATATTTGGTCGCAATTCACCACAACTGCTTTTCGTGCCGATTTGTACTCAGAGCATGTCACAAGTTCACGCCAATTGTGAAACTTCTTTTAAAAAGGGAATTTACTTCATATTTTAACCATTGTTGGGAAGAGTCCAAACATTACTTTTAAAGAGGAATTAGTTATATGTAAGAAAATAAAAATAATAAAGCATATGGAGAGAGAGAGCAGGAGAATGGGATTGACTAAGTGACTCATGAAGGGGTGATAAAAACAGTACAAATGGCATATTTCTGTACTGGAATACTATACACTAGAATTTTTGAAATTTGTGCATCAATATTGTTTTTAGGCATAACTTTGCAAAGAGTATTCTAGGATACTCTTAAACTCTCCCACAGGACAAATGAATGGTAACTGGACAATACCACCTCAAGGCCCAACTCCTGCTGTGACAGAAGCACAATATTTAGGTAAACGTTGGAAATGCAATTTGCCTCCAAGTACCCACCTCATGGTTGTCGCTTCTATTAGAAATATATAGGTAACAATTCTAGCAAATGTTATACACACAGCCTTCAGTGGTTGTAACAGAAAATCCGTTTAGTTGCTGACATTGCCAAAGGCGAAGCATGTAATGTTCAAAGAATTTTTTATCCAATAAACTATGATACAGATGCTGCACGAATGTTATATTTCTGTGAGCAAGGGCACTTTGCATCTGACTTTGACAGTGACAAAGAGTGGAAAGCTAGAGTAACACTATGCGCTCCATATCTCTTTTAATTCTGTATGTGAAGAGCTATATAGAATATATATATAAACAAATGCAAGTTGTTGTAATTTGGTTGGAAAGGAAAGCCAAGCAACTGATTCCGATGTTCTGCGCAGATCACCTGAATTGAGTGCTAAATCGTATAAAGAACCCTCTATGTAATCATCTGCTTAACAGCATTAGAAGCACAGCCCTAGATTTCGAAAGGGTCCAGTGTCGTGATTATTCTGTGATAAATTTCATTCTTTCCTAAAACCTCTATCTCCAGATGGTGTTGGGAGCCGGGCTCTCATGTTGCAATGTATAAACCCCTATTCGTGATGCATGTTTGACAGCAATTTGCCCTCTAAATATGCCATATAATGTAAAATTAACATTTTTTACAGATGAGACAAAATCCAAAAAGCATTAAGAAATTCTGTCCACAAGATCAGAGTTGCTGTTCTTAGATAGACATGGAGCTGAAAGCTTGCCAATCAATGTTCACAATGGGAATCTGTACTGTTTTAGTTGATTAAATTCCACATTTCCAGGTTCAAATATATGGCTGTTCAAAACAAAAATGGAACTTACAAATGACATGAGCACTTTCCCCAGCACCTAAGTGAAAAATTCTGCCTTTACAGCATACTTTTTGAGTAAATATAACTCACAATAAACACACACACTTTACATTTATACAGTACATTAACATTTCACGTCAAAAGCATATCACAAACACTTGCTGGCTGGGCACCTGGGCTGAGATCTGGGGTGGGGGAGGGATGAAGATTCCATTCATTGCCTGGCACCTCCCAACCTCTCCGACCTCCTCACTCACCAGTCCACCACCTGGCACCTCCGCTCGACTGGCACCGGCCTCCTGCTCATCCCTCGCACCCACCGCCTCACCATCAGAGGTCGTGCTTTCAGCCACTACACCCAAACCTCTGGAACACTCTCCCCCAATCCCTCCGCCTTGCCCCCTCTCTCCCCTTTTTCATGTCCCGCCTGAAAACTTTCCTCTTGGACTGTGCCTACGCGCCCCCCTCCCCACACCTCCGGCTCGGAGTCAGGCTCTGCCACTGTTAAGCGCTCTGAGACACTACCCTGCGTGGAGGGCGCTAGAAAGTGCAAGTTGTTGTTTTTGAAGAAAGTGAGAGAGTGGATTGGTGGGTGGGAGGGAAGATGACCAAAAACGTGTTCAAAGAGTTACATTGGAATATTTTAGAAAGAAAACAGAATTCAAACAGATATACATGAAAGGCTAATACATAATTGCAGTCGGAAGTGGTTCAGCCGAGAATGTCAGAAGTGAGCAAGAAAGTAGGTCAGCCTTGTATCAGTACAAGGTGCTGAAATGCACTTGGCACTTTAACAGGGGAGCTGTGTGTTATGAAGCAGATTGGACTCAGTGACACAGTAATAACAAAAGTAGAGTATGTGGAATAGCTATATCGATTCATTTTAGAAGTTCACTGACCGACTGGCTCGCTCAACTTCTCGCAGTGTGGATAATTAAAGTTCAAATGCTTACCTTCGCTGAGGTTTCAAACCATCCGACGAATCCATTCTCCTTGCAGTACTGGTCCATCTCAGAATGGTTGTGAGCCATAGCCTCCTGTTTCTGATCGCACTTGTTTGCCAAGAGAACAGCAGGTACAGGGTTCCCATTAGGCAGCTTTACTTTACTGTCCAAGTCATTTTTCCATTTAAGAATAGCATCAAACGTTGAACTTCTGGTTAAGTCAAAGACTATGAAAACTCCAACAGCCTCCTTATAGTACACCCTGGTCATGTTGCCAAAACGCTCTTGTCCTTGATTATTCCCAAATGAAAAGAAAAAAAAATGTAATAAATCCCACTTGGAATCTGCACATATTAATATGACTACTGCACTTACCTGAGCTGCAGTTGTTCTTATTCCTGATAATTCAAGCTCTTCCTAATGTGTGGCTCTGACCCAATACTGGGAATATATATGAAAGGAAAATGATACTCATCTCTTAAAATAGTTGTTAGCCTCTGCACACACAACTTCCCCTAAACAAATCACTTCTTAAATCTAGACTGCAGTCTATTAAAACTAAGTTGGCTTATCAATTACTGCATCTAACCTTTAACCATATTACTGTAGCAGCAGCAGCAAAACACTTCATGTGTAAAACCTACAGAGACCAGACTAACCTATTTGTAAATGCATTCAGTGTCTTGGAAGCCCGATTGCAATCTAATGCAGACTCTTGCTGCATACTGAGGCCCAAATATGTGTTTATGGATGAACGTGCAGTTATTATTCCCAGCTTTTCAGTCTCAAAAGCATCCAGCTGAGTTTGATGAAAGAAAGCCCTTTGTAAAATCCTGAAAAATGATTTCTAGATTCCCTGTGTAAGACGCACACCTGCCTTTTTAACAAGGAGCCCGGAGAATGCTAGGAGAATATCCCCCAATAATGTATGTTATTAAGTTGACCTGTGAAACTATCAAATAATGATCAAAGGCATGAAATTCCACCTGGTCATACCCTTAAAATCATTATCGTAAAATTTAAGAATTATGCAGTATTTTGGAAAAATCCTTTAGAATGTCTCACATTTTGAACCAAGGTTTCTGGGGGTCTTTTTATGAATTGTGTAAAAGGAACTGCTTCTGAGTTCAAGAATATTGCAAAATTGTGTACTATTTTAAAATGTAGTACAATGGTCTTAAGGCTAAGACCATTGTGCTACAAGTGACTTTTCAGGCCTAAGTTGCCTGTACTCAGCTCTGGCTGGTGATCGGCCATCTGCTGGGCAGGGGGAATGATGCAGATTTGAAGAAAAGTGTTAAGGGAAATCTTTGCTCTCTCCAGTATACATTTCACAACCCTCCGTAACAACTATTCCAACCTGTCATCTTCGGTCAACTTCCTACCCTGGCCCTCAAACCCCGATCCCAACCCCCAGCTCGGGTCCAAATCCCTGACTATCCAGGGCCTTGGGATGTCCTCCCGATGTGAAAGGCACTATACAAATGTAATTTGTTGTCGTCGTTGTGGAGCAAGGAAACTTGCCTAAGGTTTTGCCCTACCCGGGAATTGAACCCGGGTCCTCTTGCTTATGAGGCAAGTGCTCTAACCAATATACTACAGGACTCCACTGAAGGCATAAAAGACATTCATTCTCAGCATCCCTTACAGCATAGAGGTGTGGGCATGTGTGTTCATGAGACTATATTTTACAGAATACAGTGCAGCAAGAAATGCAGTGTGGTAAACAGTCCTATTTAACTTAACTTAGTGCATCTTTTACGTCAACTCCTGAAACTGCTTGCAGCAAGTTGCTCTGGGTGGTTCAAGAGCAGACCTACTCAAATGTATCTTCAACGAGTCTCTCCAGTATAGGTGTATCCGAACACTTACTATTCTGTACTGGGAGGGGGTTGGGATGGGTTATGAAGTATTTGGTCATCAACCTCATCATGCAGCCCCTCCATCATAGGAAGATCGGTTTACTTAGATCTAATCAGAGACTGCAATATGCTCAGTGAAATGCTAGGAAGGTGTACAGATGCTTTCAGGTATTTGCACAGAACATACCTAAGGAGCATCAAAAGCAAGGCTACCTGTACGGCAAAGCATCTACTATTCAGAAACTAAAACATATTTAGCATGTTAACACAAGCTCCATTCAAACCACAGCAATGTGTTACATAAAACCATTTAGCAGGTTTCTTACAAAATACTGTACAGTAGATCCTTCAACTCCAATACAATATAAAATTGTACATCTTGCAAACTAATATAAAATGTCTGCTTTTGAATTGTGGGTTCTCAATAAGAATGCATTTTGTTTTATTTCTGGAACACTTTATTCAAATGATTTGTGCAATACTAGAGATTTGGCTAATCAGAAAGTAATTACTCAGAACTCACAAAGAGTCTGGCTTCATAGCTTTGTATAGCAAATTAGTCCTACTTTTCCTGCAGCGTTCCCAGGAGAACCACACTGGCTGAGCTAACTATAAAAAGGATGGGATGTGAGAAATTCATAATTGCCTAAGGTTAACAGCGAGCCATTTAAATGAGGGATGTTTTAATTAAATCTTTCAAAAATGCAATATCCTTCCTGTGTCCTCTTAAAGGTTGCTTTTGTGCACATTCAGTGAGAATCTCAGGTAAAGCCCATTTAACCTACATTTCTTTGGAGTCCTGTAGCTCAGTGGTTAGAGCACTCGCCTTGCAAGCGAGACACCTGGGTTCAATTCCAGGCAGGGCAAAATCTTGGGCAAGTTTCCTTGCACCACATGCCTAATAATAATCCCTCCAAAACAATAATAAATTGGTCATTTTCAATCCACGGCTGTTTGTGGAACACTGCTGTGCGCAATTGGCTGCCGCGTTTCGCCCACAAATATACGGTCAATTCACTTTACAGCATATTCTGTGAAGTCTTTGAGACGTCTAGAAGATGTGAAAAGCGCTATATCAAATGCAAGGATTATTATTATTATTATTTGAAAGATTAGCAAATAACCGATTCTTACGCTCAAGTGGCAAATTCACTTGGTGCAATGAAAAATAGCAACCACAATAGCCAACTCCCTCAAGATAAATTCACAGACCCCAAAAGTTTTGTTTTTTAAAATATAGCACACTTCTTTATGTAAATGTATAAATGTTAGCCTACAGATAGTCACTGCACTGCGATTACTGTGATGCACTTTAGAGATGCCTTGACGATATAAGACGTAATAATCAAATGCAACCATTGTTATAAAGCACTGGAAATGGTAATTCATGCATTTGTGTTATTAAATATAAAATTCCCTTCATCACAAAAAAAGCAAAATGGATTGAAAATGCTAAATATAAATGGAACCTTCCTGCTGAGTATAGTTCTCATGATCTCTAATGACTCAGTATTTAAAGACACATCATACTTATAGCATGAGAATACATTCCCATTCAAGACAGTGAAACATTCATCAGGGCTGACACATGATCTGGGACCATCGGATGATTTAGTGCCTTTGTCCCTGGTTGCAGGCTTGGAACTTCACAATAATTTACATTGTCAGCAAGATTTCATTTTAATCGGTTGATGCATTTTTGGATTACATTGATAATAAGAATGTTATTCAACGATATCAACTACAAAATACAAAATTTGCATTTAAGATATGTACCTCGTGAATTCTTTCACAATTAAAAAATATGTTTAGTGTAACAACAACAACTTGCATTTATATAGCGCCCCTCACACAGGTTAGCGTCCCAGAGTATAGCAGTTAGGAAAAACATGACATTTGACTTCAGTTTAAAAACTTTTGACAACACATATTTACTGTATAGACGTAGATTTTTGATAAGAAATTTGCAATCTGTTTCAAGACAGGACAACAACAAATTACATTTGTATTGTGCCTTTCACAAACTGGAACATCTCGCATGAATTCTCCTACTGCTACTGTTGAGGGACTGAAGAACTGAATAGAAGAATCAATATGTTTCAGCTTTAATATGCTGTATCAGACCTGGGTGTGAATTCCCAGGTGCAGACACTGTGAATGTTCACACTGGAGAAGAGAAGGTTCAGGAGAGATCTTCCTGACACATTGTATTCATGACACTAAAGAGGGCCTTAAACAACCTGAACCCTAAAAATTGTTTTAACAAAATTACATGGCTCATGGGTTCAAACTGCAAAGAGGGAATGTTAAAAGACAGTATATATTTAATTGCCTTTCATAGAAAGTGGTGAATGAGTGGAATACACCACCCTGTGAGGTGTTTGGGGAGACTATGTCAAAAGATACAAGAGGGAATTAGGTAGCTGTTCAGCAATGAGATCGATTGAAGACCATGAGGTTAAGCTGAAGAAGGCCCGATGACCCATTTGATTTCATCCTCCCAGAGTGTACACCTTACTACCTTGACCTACCCTTTCGACTGTATCTATGGTCACCACCTCGCTCCTTTCTTCCTCGCTCAGTGTCCAAACCCTGCCATTGTGCAATGCTCCAAGTGGCTAACCTACATAAATGCAAGTTGTTGTTGTTGTTCCCATTACAAGAAGAAGTTTTTTTAAATTAAAAAGTGATTTTAAACATTTGGGCCACCAAATGGAACACAAAGGTCTTTTTATAGTCCTGTACATCCCCATAATAATAATCCTTGATATAGCGCTTTTCATGTCTTCTAGACGACTCAAAGCGCTTCACAGAATAGACTGTAAAGTGAATTGTGGGCTAAATGCGGCAGCCAAATTGCGCACAGCAATGTCCCACAAACAGTTGTGGATTGAAGTGACCAATTTACTATTGTTTTTTCTTTCTTGAGGGATTATTATTAGGCATGTGGAATAAGAAAACTTGCCCAAGGTTTTGCCCTGTCAGGAATCGAACCCAGGTCTCTTGCTCGAGAGGCGAGTGCTCTAACCACTGAGCTACAGGACTCCACATGTTCCCACATAATCATTCCCATTTTGAGGAAGTGCCATTTGGAAATCAAACTATTTCCTATGGCCCACAGACAGCACAGGTTCTTGGGTACTTGGTCCCAAGACAAGTCACATGGGTACTTGGTTCAGAGACAGGTTTCAAGAGTTGTGACAAAAGCCTGGGAACAGGTTCCCTCCCATCAACCTCCACCCTGTTCCTGGGAATGGTGCAACAAGAACAAAGAAAGCAGCAACAACAAAATTGCATTTGTAAAGCAACTTTCATTTCAGGAGGATGTCCCAAGGCGCTGAAATAGTCAGGGATCAGGACCTGAGCGTGGGGGTAGGGGACAGCTGAAGGTACGGTCAAAAAGGAGGGTCTTGAGGTCTTTAAGGTGG